AATTCTTTGGTGGTTTGTGTCAGTAAAAGTTAGTGCTTCAATCACTTTTGTATCCGAAATTAAGAATAGAAAGTTATTTACAAATAAAATAAACATAATGGCGGCCAACCAAAACTATAGTAGTACTATACTAAACCAATGACATATAATAATACCTGAACTGACGATTCATTCATTAAAAGTGTACGTCAATACAAATCAGCTGGGGACGCCATTTTGGTAACCTTTAAAGTAATTATTCTCATGTAAAAAGCTGCTATATATTTTCTAATGGAATTAAAAAAACAAATATATATTATCCTAATTTTATGATTAAGATTGATGTTATTTGTAAATATGTTATTTTAAAAAGATGTTTCAAAAACAATTGACACTTTAAATATTCTTGAAGATATAGATTTGGAGAAACCTGCTAGTCATGTAAGCCCTATTTATTAAAATTCTTGTGAGATTTATTATTTGTCTATATTTTAATATTTATTACAATATTTATATTATAAAACATATTTTTATAAGAATGTTTCAAAAACAATTGACACTATTAATATTCTTGAAGATGTAGATTTGGAGAAACCTGCTAGTCATGTAAGCCCTATTTATTAAAATTCTTGTGAGATTTATTATTTGTCTATATTTTAATATTTATTACAATATTTATATTATAAAACATATTTTTATAAGAATGTTTCAAAAACAATTGACACTATTAATATTCTTGAAGATGTAGATTTGGAGAAACCTGCTAGTCATGTAAGCCCTATTCATTAAAATTCTTGTGAGATTTATTATTTGTCTATATTTTAATATTTATTACAATATTAATATTATAAAACATATTTTTATAAGAATGTTTGACTTTTTAAATACACGGAACATAGTTGCTAAAGGGTTTAAAAAACCACTAACTACAAATTCACTTTCTTATTATGAAATTTTTTTTGAGATGTGCATTACAACTTTAAAATCCTTAAAGTTTGAAAGTGGAAAATACGTTTATAGATCAAAAAAAAAGTCTGCATTATAGGCTTAATCTTGTCAATGAAAAGCATTTTGGGAATTGGGAGGGAATTATTATTAGGACCTAACCCCAAACTCAAGTATTTTATTTAGCATTATATATATTTTGTATATTTATTGCTTTTCATATTTTAGATATCTTTTAACCTACAAAACATCTCAAGATCATCTAGAGCTCTTCTTTAGCTGTTTACGAAGCAGAGGAGGTTTTAATAATAACCCTTCTGCCTATCAATTACGATCAGCTATAAGAGGCATTATGATAGCAAAGATGGGAGCCTTATGCACAGGTAATTGTATTCCACTCGATAATACAAATCTTTTTTGTGGAGATTATCAAGATAATGATGATGACAATATACAAGCTATAGATTTTTCTTTTATAGATGTTCCAGATATCCAAAAATTATCACCATTCGTTGATAACATCGCAATTTATATATCAGGATATATAACACGTAAACTTATATCTGAAAATAAGGTAAAGTGTTATATATGTATTTCTGCAATGATTGTTAAAAATTGTAAAGATCAAGAGAGCTATAATTTAATTAAAATTAAAAACAATCAGGGATTAATAATTCCTTCCAGAGATGTATCTAGATTATGCCAATATGCTGAAAGTGGTTTCCGTACATTTGAACATAATAATCAAATTAAAAGGCCTTGTATATTTAAACGAATAGTATCTTTTGTGATTTCAAAAGTAGAAACAAATATTTTTGATAATCTGGTTGATCACATGCTAGATCAAGAAGAAACATCAGCCATTATCAAAAATTAATTAGATTAATAGTTGAACGTTACATAAACATAAGATTTTATCATTTTGCAGATAAATTTAAAGGACAATAAATATATCTATATAATCTTTAAATGATATTAGATATATATTGTAACTATATATTTTTAATTATAAATAATATCTATAAATCCTTTTTGTAATTCATGAATATTATTTCTATTATAATAAACAATTATTGATTTTCATCATAAGATTAATAATCTCATAATATTAAGTTATGAACTTCAAAAAATAAAAAGGTAAGAGTAAGCTAAATTTATCTGAAGTCTTAGAAATGTTTTAATTTATATAATCTATATTTTTTTTATTGATAAAATAAACTGGATAATATAATATAAGGAAAAATAATTTTTTATTTGCAATACATAATTTATCCTAAGATATATCTATTAAATCAATATGATCCAATTAGCACAACTGATTAAATATTAAATTCATATTATATTTATTTAATAATATAACATATTTTTTATAATATATATATTATTGAGAATCTGAAGATTAAACATTTACTTTATATTTAAAAAAAAGAAATACCTCTATTTTTAAGATTCAGGATCACAACTTTAAAATTGAGAGAACTTTACATTTATTATTTAAGAAAAATATTGAAGAGGATGCCTAATATTCTGGATTTCTAAGTTATATTTTACTTTTTTATTAATATTATAATGTAAATTTTTAGCTAGAATTCTTTAAAAATTAACTTATGTTTAGATGTTTAAGCCAAACAATATGAATATTTATAATAAAAATCCTGATGATTCAGTTTATCACCTTGTATGATTCGAAATATTAAAAGGGCAAGTAAAGTCTCATATTAAGATAAACATAAATTTAAGCAATGATTTAAATATATCTACCTTATTAGATATTTTAAGAATAGAATAGAAACTAAAAACAATTATATTGTGTCTTAAGAAAAACAAATGATAAGTAAGGGAACTTTATTAGATACTTTATATTCTATGTATAAAAAAATGTTTAAAATATAAATTTTAATAATTTAGTCATATAATTTTAAATTATTTGAATTTGGTCTGCTAAATATATATCTTCTTGGAAGAATAGCCTTGGAATATTGTGGAATAGGATCCTTGATGGTACCATTAATGCAGATGGATGTGGATTTAAATTCTTTGTTAAGTATCATAGGAAAAATTTCAGATATAGTAATAAATTAGGCTCTCGTTTAAAATTTTAATAATAATTTCTTTTACCAAAATGGCGGGTCCAGCTGATTTGCTTTTAACGACGCTTAAAAATGCATTTTAATGAATGAATCGTCAGTCTAGGTATTATTATATGTCATTGTACTAAACACGTAGACGTAGCCAGAAGGGGGGACAAGGGAAAATTCCCTCCCCTCTCAGAAATTTATCACTTTTTGTAAATATCATTTTTGGCTAATAAAAAATATCCCCCTTAATCCTCCCCCCACTCCCTGACCCTCAAATATGTATGCATATATCTTAAATAATAATTTTTTAAAAGAAAGAATGTAAAAGTTGATATTTTTTTATAAAACTATTCATCATAATTTATAGATTTTTGGGAAAATAAATTTATAAATATATAAAATGAATCAAAAATGCTTTTTAATAAATGGAATATAAGCCTAAGATAAGTCTTAAGACAGAAGTGAAATGTATTATAATTATTAATAATAGATCCATAAAATTACTAAATAATATAATATATCAAATATAATTTTTTATAAAGTGAGTAATTTTAATTTATTTATCTTAATAAAAGTAAAATATAATTATAAAACTATTGATAAAATCAAATCATAAATTAAAAAAATATTAAAGCACGATACAAACAGTGGAATATTATATGTCGTAATTTACAGTATATCTAAATATCAAATAACAATCAAAGCGAATTATATATTTTACAGAAAATTATAAAATATTGATAAGGACATCAGAAAATATCTTTTAAAGACATTGTGGGATGAATAATATGAAGATTAAATTTAAATATCATTTTTACTTAAAATAAATAGATGGCATTAAATAATTGAATGCAAATTATTGCTATATTTAATATCAAGAGCATTGATTAATAAAATTTGTTAAATTTTTAACTGTAATATATTCTCTAACTGTCAAATATGTCTGTAAAAGTGGAATTTTACCTAGTATTTTATAACTAATTCTATAAAATAGAGTAAAATCAACTATATGTCTACTTACTTTTTATAAATAAATTTCTTATAATTGTTTGGAATAAATTATTACCATACTTTTATATTAAGGTATATACAATACAAGTAATTTATTATATTTTTATTTTATATAAACTAATAAAAATATATTTCATATTTGTTTTAGGCTTATTTTTTTTATTAAAATTTGTAAAAATATTTTATGACTATATATAGACAAAAGTAACCCGGCCGAAGGCCGGGGAAAAGCGCCGAAGACCTCCCAAAAGGGGTTCTGGGGGCGAAGAACCCAGTAATTTTTTAATTCCCCCCCCCTTATGAAAATACTGGCTACGTCTATGACTTAACATCTGGTTTGTAAATTCAAATTCCATAATTACTTTGGTTAATAACCGCTATATGAAAAAATAATTATACTCTAAGGAAATGTTGTGAGGTCAATTTTGACTAGAGAAATGATTCACTAACGATGAAATGAAACTTATATCATTCTTTAGTGCTCCGTTAGTAGAGGTTTGTCCTTAATCAGTTTAATAGACGAAATTAAAAAAGTATTAACGAAATGAACAAAAAAATGGCCGCACACAAAAAACAAAACTAGAGCAGCGACAAACATCCTATTTTTACCATGATTTAGTAATTAAATAGTTAATTTAAATTCCGATGTTGACTTGGTTAACCGATTTATAAATATTTTTATAAGCTATGCAAACGAAATCAAACGTTACTGAGTTACAAACAAATTAAAAATGATGGTGTATAGCAAATGTGGCAGAAATAATATTCTATAACATACAAAAAAAGAAATGCCTACTACATCCCCCCCCCCAAAAAAAATCAATATCTATCTCAATATATGTTGAAGGTATTTGCCCCCCCCCCTCTCTCTTTCGGTATTGAAGGCACTAGCTTATCCCAAAAGAATTAGCGTCTTTGAAAATCATCCCTGATTTTGATTTTTTTTATACTTTACATGAAAGGAATATATTGATCATTCAATAAGTAATAAATGCCCATGTCAGCACGTGAATAATTATAGTTGTCAATCTTTTGATTAAAAAGCAAATTTTCAGTATATTTTATTATCAAAGTAGAATGAATTCACGGCTGGAGATCAAAATAAATCATGTAAATCCCAGCACCGGGCTTATAATAGCCTTGCACCCGTTAGTAATAATGAACATATCAGAACATTGGACACGAATTAAAGCGCAAGAAAATAATCCTTTACAAGGTAATATTATTTTTACCTTACAATATAATTTAAAATAGTCATTGGTGCAATAATTGGCAAACAAATCGAAAGAAATATTTGCATACTTAATTCCTTCGAAATTAGATATGATTTGATTAATGGTATTGTGGTTGATAAAGATTATCTAAAATTTAAAGAATCTCATTGTATTTTCTTTTGCTTATTATTATTATATGATTTAATAGTTAAAGAAGTTTTTTCTGAATTAGAATTTTTAGGATGGTATACTGTGGGAAATGAGACATTAATAACTGATATTTCAATTCATAGACAAGTAGGATTAAGATGTAATAATATTGTTATTAAATATTTTAGATATGTGATTTATATGAAAACCCTATAATGATGAAAATGATTATTGATACAAAAATTAATGATGTATATATGTATAATTTTATTCAAAAATATTACATAATTTATAGCTACCAATAACTATGTATGAATCAATAATTGATTTTGAAAATGGCAAGGTAATTTTTTTTACAATAATTTTAACATGTGAAATAGGCACAAATGATTTTTAGAGAGTTATCATATTCATTAGCCACTGAAGAAGCTGAAAGAGTTGGTCTTGAACATATTGCAAATACAAATTTATGTTTTGGAGAAATTTCACAAGATTCACTAGGTATTATATATATATATATGGTTAATTATAAAATGTAATGTAAACAATATTAAAAATCTATAACCTATCATGGGCCTTTACTGATCACTAAATCATTATATGTAAATTGTGTAATATTTCATTATAATTTAATTTAAAATATGCTTTGGCCTCCTTCCTATAAATATTTTACATTTTATTTTAATATCCTTGAGAGTTAAACCTTATCCTTAGTTCAGAACGCTATTACCATTTTTTTTGCCAATAGTGATACCAATATGGTATCAGTTAAGGATATGCAAATCCTAGCCTATAAATAATATTGGTCTAGACTGTGTAGGGCATAATCTTAATATATGATATTCAATTTTTTAAATAAATTGATATATTTAAAATTCTTGCAAGTAACAAGGCACCAATATTTTTAATTTGTTGGAATATTTTTTTACAATTAAAAAATATTAAATTCTATATTTAAATAAATTTCGGCCAGGCAGACAAATAATATTTATTTTGCATTTAGCTAAGACCAGGTTTAGGGTTACCAGACACCCTATTTATTTTAAGAGGATATTTTGGTATCTATTTTTATTTTCTATTAATTTGTCCTTTTCAAAAATATATAAGATTTTTTACATATGGGGAAAATATTTTTATAATTACATCATAATAAGTCTTTTTGTTTATATTTTTTTTCACATTTTTAATTGTTTGAAATGTTAATTTAGAAAATACGAATAAAATAGAATAAATGAAATTAAATACTAATATTACTTTATTAAATAATATTAATTGTAATTAAATAAATTATAAATTAACATAACATAAATTAAAGTCTACAAAAATTTATAAAAATTTCTTCTTAATATTACATTTTTTTATCGCTATATTTATACTACTAAAATTTACATCATATAATTTCGTCATATTCAAATTTTAATATTTAACTTTATATATAAAAAAAAACTATTTTCCTTAACTATTCAAATTTATATAAACCACTATTTAATTAAATTAAAATACAAATAATAACATTCTAATTATTACAACACCTTTCCACTTACGTTGGATCCACCATTCTGTCAATGAACAACTTTCTTTCGATTTCGACTTAGCCTTGTATCTCCACCAAATCTATTCTTCTTAATCTTTAATGTATTCTAATTTATAACTACAGCTGTCCTTTGCCTAGTATTCTTAGTTTCTAACAACCGTTCGTGTCCGATTACAGCTTGAACATTGAGTTATTCCCATCTTTCGTGGGCATCTCTTTTGTCTCATAATGTCTATGATAAAGATTGCTTATAACGATCTTTTGTAACGATAGTGCCTCTTGTCATGATCCTACCGATACCAATCTCTTATAACAATAACCATTTCTTGTAATAAATATATCTTATACAATAACGATTTCTTGTATCTTAAATGATCCCAAATAAAAATCCGATCTCTAAATGAGCTCGATTGCAGCATGAATTTTCTAATGATGAAAGCCGTTTCTCTTTATGAAGATTTTGGTTAATCAACTAATATTTTGCTGAATATTATCAACTTAATTCACCGTTAAACGTATATCTTTAATAAAAATAACGAATTTTTTTTAGCTAAAACGATCACTTGTACATATAACGATCTCCTGTGACGAATTCCTTTTAATTATCACGATCTCTTGAGACTAAAACCATTACTTCTATACTTTTTCGAACTACGACCATTTGCCTGGTTATTGATACCATTGTTTCTTTGCTCTCATTCTTTCGTGTAGATGGTCATTTCATACATCCCCTTCCCCCTTTATTTAGAATTTCTTTTCAGAGTTCATTAGACTGAAGGTTTAGGCGCATCATAGTACATATGGGTTTCGGCACCAATGTTTGAAATGTTAATTTAGAGGATACAAATAAAATAGAATAAATAAAATTAAATACTAATTACTTTATTAAATAATATTAATTGTAAATAAATAAATTATAAATTAAAAAGCAAAATAAAAATTAAAGTCTACTAAAATTTATAAAAAAAATTTCTCAATATTACATTTTTTTATCGCTATATTTATACTACTAAAATTTACATCATATAACTCGTCATATTCATATTCAAATTTTAATATTTAACTATATATAAAAAAAACTATTTTCCATAACGATTCAAATTTATATAAACCACTATTTAATTAATTGCAAATACAAATAACATTCTAATTATTACAACCACCATTTCAATTTTAAATCAACAGATTATAGCTGCAAACATTTTAAATATATATTTCCTGATTTGAAAATAGCTAAATATATTTCCTGCACTAGAACTAAAACCGGTATAATAGTGCGCACAAATTGAGCATTTGCGTTTGCAGTATTTTTTTTAATGCAACGCATCTTTGTTTAAATTGAAAGCAGTACGATTTTTCCTTTATTTAAAATTGAACGTGATTTAATTTTTATTAAACAATATGGATTTCCTTAGTTTACAAGATAAACAACTATTTAAGATAAACAACCAATTGCTTATTTTAATTATACAAGTATGAGGTGAACATTATAATTTACAAATAATGCAAATAATAATTTAATTACATTTTCAATTCTTTAATAATAAAAATGTACACTAGAACATGTAAGGAATATTAAATATCTTATTAAAATAATATAATCATACCATCTTACCCAATTTTATTTAATTGGTCTTTGAATTTTTTTTCACATAAGGTGATGTCAAAATAAAATATTGTTAGCTCAATAAAACATAGTAAGTTTTCTATATAAATAGTCAATATCTTAAAAAATCAAACACTATTATTCTTTTTATATACATAATACTTTATTTTATTTCTTATGATAATATTGACTAAATTATATGTCAATGAATTAAAATCCTAGAAAGGCTTCAAATTTTGATCTCAATAATTAATTATTGTGTCAAAATTTATAATATATATACACTATTAGATCTTAATTGTAACTTCTTCCAATCATGTTACTCCTGATATTTTTATTTATTGGATTTTCATAACTGTTTACTCAATCTTATTCTTTCATAATTTGATTATTATAATATTGATTTGTTTATCCTACCTTAATATATTTATAATAATCTATATATTTTAATAAAGATGCTAAATAAATTTTGAATAGTTTGCTTATTTATATATATTTTTTAAAAATGGACACTATAATATGGAATATTACTTTATTATATATATAAATAAACATATTTACAAAATAAACACACTAAGATAAAATTTATTTAATGTTTGATTTAAAGTTGTTTCTGTTGAACTTGTTAGTGATAATTCAATAGTATTTTGATCCTTTGATTGCTCCATCAAAGTATGATACAATCTTGATACTTCACATTTAAAAAGTATTTATTTGAATGGCTCATACTTTCCAAGCCTTCTGCCATTGATTGTAGATACAATCTAAAATAATATTAAATTTATAGATAAAAATATATATTTTACCGGCTTTCAGGTGGCACCCTTTCCAAAAGAGCCAAAAGTCTTTCACCCATGAGTGCATTTATTTTTGAATCAGTAGCCTTTGGTGTAGTTTCTTTAGGACTAAAATTATCAGTAGTTTTTCTGTCCTTTATCATTGGCTTCATGAATTTTATATATTCATATTCAACTTCTTCTTTAAGCATGATACAGTTGTATCATGCTGTGGAAACTCCATCTCCATGCTAATAAAAATATAATTTATCACTGTTTATATATATTTACCTTAAACTAATGGTTGATAAACCATCTAAAACTTATTCTAATAATAATATCAATTAATATATTCTAAAATTATATAAATATCAATTAATATATGAGATAAATTATACTTACAATTTTGTATCCATTTTCAAATTTTAGCTCAAAATTAAAAAAGCTTAAAAAAATTAAACCAGTTTGCTTTTTTTAACGCTTGCCGTAAAAAAATCCAATTTGCACAATGCCATTTAAAATGCATTCTTTTAAAACGGAGCGTTGCAACGCTCAATTTGTGCGTACTATAATATTTTTTTCAACTGTTTAATATACGACAAATTTTACCTAGTAACACAATTAATACATATTATATATTATATTTTTGATCGTCATTTATTTTTTGAGTATTATGCAAAAATAAAAAAACATATGGTTAAATGTTTTGCTTTTACTATATCAACTTTAACATTTTATAATTTTTTCTTTTATTACCTCTCTCCATGCCCCCATGTTAAATTTAAAAAAAATGGGGAGAAAAGCTCGTTCTAACCTCATAAAAATAGCCTCAATGCCACTATTTTGATTAGATCATATTTTGAAGTATTTCTAATATCAATTTTGTTCGGGTAAATTGATATTCTATAAAATTGTTTTTTCTTTTATAAAATATGATTTTTGGGTGGTAAAAATGTATATTAACCCTTTACTACAGAGGTGGAAAAAACTCCCTTAACTACAAAGGTGGGGTCTATTTTACCCTAGATTTTGAGCTATATCTCAGAACATATTAAAGTTTGAGATCTAAAATTTTGAATATATATTAAGAAATTATTGGAGATAATAAATAAAAAATCTTAGATTAATAGTTACTTCTAAAAAAAAGTTTTGCAAATTTTCCTAAAGTTGCTGTTTTTTTTTGAGACTTTCCTTTATTCATAGTATTATCACCAAAAAAAATTCAAAAAATGCAAATTTTATTATATATTTTATTTATTCAATGTTGAATAATGATAATTTCATAAATTTTATAAAAAAATATCAAATATAAAAAAAAATATTAATCATCAAACATCATGTAAATTTTTATAAAAACATTCACCACAAAAAGTATTCATATGATCTTTACATATAAATTTAGAACAATTTAAACAAATAATGGTTGTTTTTTTGTCTGGGCAATCATAGCATCTTCCTTTTTTTTGAAGAAGTAGGTTTTTCATCAATAATATTGAGAACATCCCCAATGTTATTATGTAATAATCTACATGTTCTCATATCTTTTGATCATATATAGAGTAATGAGCTCCATTGCTAATAATTTTATAAATTTAGATCTTTTTATGTTCAATTTATTATTAGCTTTATAAACGATGAGTATAAATTATGTATATATTTACCATTGTATAAAAAATGCTCAAGGGCCATCTATTCGATTTTCTTGATATAGAATATATGGAGTATAGTTGATCAACTACATCAACTCCAGTTTTTGTTAAATTATAAAATGTTATAATTTCTTTTTTTCATATCACCAGTTGATGAATCAATTTTTTTATCATAATGTAGTGTAGAAAGCAGCACTACATTTTTATACCTTTTAGTTATATATGAAATTAGAGTTGTATTTTCTCTAAATACAAATAAACTTGAGTTTATATTTCTTTTTTTATCAAAAAATAAAGCAGGTATCTGTTTAATTTTTTTTTATAGTTCCAACTAAGGTTAAAGAATGAGAATTTAACAAATGATTAGCTAATTCATAGCTTGTAAACCAATTGTCAGTTGTAATATTTCTATTAGTCCTTGAAATTGGTTGAATAAGTCTTTCAACTACATCAAATGGTTTATTTGAAAATTTGTAAGGTCCTTCTGGCTGATTACCAGTATATAATTCTGTTTTTAATGTATAAAAAGTCCTGGAACCCACTAGAGCATAGATTTTAAGACCATATTTTGATAGTTTATTTGGCATATATTGCCTGAATGGACACTTGCCTTTAAATGCAGGAATTTATCAATAGTAACATATTGTCCAAAAGAATAAGAATTATTGCAATTATCATTAAAAATATTAAAAATTTCTCTAATATGTGTTGCTTTATCATATCCCTTGTATTCATATCATCAAATCTTAGAACTTTCAATAGAAATTGGAATCTATTTATATTCATTGTATATCTAAATATATTTACACCAAATCCATCCTTATTCCATAAAGATGGTTTGATTATTAGTAAACCAACCAGAGCATTAAATTCATTTTCATTCATTTTAGTTTGATAAATAGAGTCATTTTTTTGAAGAGACTCAACTTTTGATTTGTGTATTTTAAAATTAAATCTGTAATAATTGTTGAAATGAATAGTTTAAAGCTTTCTAGGGGGGATTTTGCATTTATTGCATGTGATTTAACCCATGGCAAACAAGAAATTATATTATGGGATCTAGTTCTTTTTTGAGGCAGGCATTCTTTATTCCACTTGATTTTGCCATCTTTACCTTAATTTTTTTATATAACATATTAAAAGATAGCATATTTTACTGTAACAATGTTTATAATTATCTTCACACTCATCACTATCTATATCATCTTCCTCTGTGTCTGAGTTGTGATTGCTGTTATATAAATAATCATCACTTGACTCAGAATCTACTTCACCTATATAAAATGATATAAATATTAAATAGAAAATACTTCCAGAACTTGATGATATTAAATTATCCATATGCTCGTTTTATAGTATTTAGCTCCACAAGAAAAAAAAATAGTATAAAATTTAAAATTTTGGGTCACAATATAACAATGAAAAATTTTAAAAAAAATTCGTAAGTACAAAGGTGGGACCTATACTACCCCAAGCTCAACAAATTGCAAATATTTTAAAAAATATCATATCAATTATCTTGAAATTTGGTAGATATGTTCCTTATAACAAAATATTAAACTACTATAAAAACCAGGTCATATTATCTTCAGGATTTTTAATTACCATGATTATAAAACCGTGGGGTATTATTTCCCCACCTTTGTAGTGAAGGGTTAATCTTTATTTTTGAAAAATAGTAAAGGTTTAAAAAATTACTTTTACAGGTACTAATCATATAATGCATTATAAAAATTCATCAAGCTCTCTGATAGAATTAAAAATTATAGCCGCATATGTATATAATTATATAGTTTTAATTAAAAAATTATCCCTTAGAGGTTAATACTCTAGAAAATAAAGTCACGTCTCGCTAAACCCCGGGTTCATTATATCCCCGGTCTCCCCTACTTTATTATAATTTTTTTTATTTTTGAAAAATAAAAAAGTTTTACTCTTTTGATGTAAATTATATAATATCATAAGACATTTTTATATAAAATTATTATAAACTTTATATTATGTTAAGAAATGCAATCAAGTTCTGTCTGTGTTACTATAACGTTTTAATTTTCTTTAGCAGTGATTTTACATCATTATTTTTTTTTCTCTTTTATATTCATTGAATCTGACTATTTTCCTAATTCCGATTGTTTTAATTTAATTAATTAACACTTATCTTCTATATATAGTAAACAATCAGTTGATTGCGCAGCAAAACGCGATTAAAATGCTTAATTCCAGATTACTTGTGGTCATCAATTATTTGAAAGATGTGCAAAATGGTTTGAATGCTATAGTTTAAATTATATATTTTGCTCTAGACAAGTTTCCAAAAAAATATGAATTACTACGGGAAGCTAGCAGCTTATTGAATCGGTTACCTATATATAAAGATCCAAATTATGATAAGGAATACCTTAATGTAATATTTCATTTTTTAAGGTATATTTGATATGAGAATTGAATAATTTAATGATCGATAGAATTATTTGATCTGTGAGTAAGCAAAAAGTTTCATAAAATAAGAAAAAGATTCCTAATCAAAAAGAGAAAGAGAGAGAGTTGAATTTTTTGGTTATATCTTCTCGTTTAAATTATAACTAATTTTATTTATTTAAAACTTTATAATATATATATAGTTAAATATTATTTTAAGGAAAATAACGATGTGGCCTTGTTAACTTATCTTGGAGAAATGACTAAAACATGTGATACTATAAATCAGGTAGCATATTTTTTTAAATAATTATTTCAAAAATTTTGGTTATAGTTCGTTAACAAATTCAACTGCCTTCAAGACAAACAAGCTGCATCCAGAAGAATAAGAGGAGGATTGATATGCTAGCATTAGCATATGATGTTAATTATTTCCAATATTCACATATTTGTTTATGTGTGTTTTACCTTATTTTTGTATTATAGTTTTATCATGATAGAATAAATTCAAAATATATTTTTAGAGGATATATATTCATATATATCGATAACTTATCAAGATAAGATTATTATTTTATTTAATTATATAAAGAAGACCTGGGATCCGCTCAATGGAAACAACATTAAATCATAAACTACTCGATAAATCTAAATAAATAATATCTCATTTTATTTCACATACTTTTTGCATAAAAAAATTATTTTAAAAAAGCTATTATATTTTGGTTCATATTTATTTCTCTATAATAGCAAAATTGTCATTATTTAATTTACCAGTATAAATAATGTTAGTTTTTAATTATCGAAAACCTCGATTTATTCACTAGCGTTCAGGGTAAGATCTCGCAAAGGAAATAATACAATCTTTTAAAAAATTATTATATTCGTTTACAAATTTTCTGGTGACCTAAAGGAATATTTATATTTGAAACTAAGCATAAGGATAGAAATATGTGGATCCAATCGACTTTATAGTTCTATTTAGTATTTAAAAAATTTTTAACTTAGTTATTGTCGCAGTTATACAATAAAATACTGCGAAGAATAATATTTCTTTTTTAATAAACGTCAATCAATACATTTTTTGTATTATTTTTAATCTATTTTTTTATAAAATAAATATATTATATTATTCTTGGAATTGAAAAATAAAAATATCATCTGAAGTTAGTTGTGTATTTTGGGGGTCCGTATAAGTTTTGCACAGTGGCGTATACAGGATTTTCCTATAGGGGGAAAAAAACTAATGCTGGCCTTCAGCCAGCTTTTTCCCCACCTTCAGCCTGGTCAATCTTTGAGCTATTCTTTTAAATTATTCATAATTCATTAATACTTATAATAATATTTTTAGCTTTTATTTACTAATTCGCGCTTATGAATATTTAAAGAAGAAATAAAGGTTATAACCTAATTTTTATTTTAATTTAGGTATATTATAAATAAGTTTTTTTAAAAAATATAAAATTGAAATAAAGTTTAGTGTCAATTTTTTTTTTATAAAATTGGCTTAAAAACTAGTTTCAACTTAAATTCTCATATAATATAAATAGAATAAAAAAAATTTTATTAAAAATGCTAATTGTAGTGTGTAATATTGACTAGAACATTTTTTAAAGAACAAGTTTTTATAACTTATTATCAAATACAATATTATACAAAAAATTTATTAAATACTAGAATTATAATGAGATTTTTAATTTTCATGGGAAATTTGCCAATTCATCAAGAATTTTGTTTGTCGTTGGAATCAAATCTCTGTGAATATTTAACAGAGCTAACCCAAGTCTAGATTCGGAAGTAGTATTTTGTAAATAAGTTTTCAACCTTCTCAATTTGAAAAAGGTCCTTTCATCCGTAAATGTTATAATAGGTAAACATGCAAGAATATTAAATACCTTCAAAATATTTGGAAATTAATCCAAGGTTTCCTTATACCGATTGAGCGCATAAATATCATGCTCAGGTAAAATAATACACGTAGTAAATATTTTTACCACAATTCGAATTCACTGATTAAATTGATTTCAGTATTATCATAGGAATAAAATTTTGCTAAATATTTAATTTTACCAATAATGGCATCAGAAAACGAAGGGTATTTAGGTAATAAAATTTGAAGATTACCAAAGACTTGTTTTTTATCTAAAAACCGTACTTTAATTTGCGATAAAAAGTATCTAAGAATGGGATGAAATTGGATATTATTAATATTCTATAAGATTTAGTTTTTGATTCAACGTCTATATAAATATTATGAAACATTCATCTACATTCATTCTTCCTGTTCACATTTTCCTTCAAATCGAAATTTGGTTTTTGTAAATTTCTACATAGTAGTGAGCTATAGTAAAATAATTTATTAATGCAGCTAGCAGTTAGGATAAACTGCTTGATATTGAGAAATTTTGACGGGACATGGGGAGTAAAATTTTTATTAGCTTTTATATTTAAGAAAACAGTCAAATTTGCGATGGGGGAGGGGGGGGTGAAATTTCCCCTCCAATTACACGCCTGGTTTTGCACGTGACCTGGGATGTTGAATTCTGGTAGATATTGATTTACTTAACATAAATATTTTACATACATATTAATTTAATTTTTTTGAATTAAAATTAATAGTAAATTATAACGCAATGTACTGGTTGAAGCTAGGATTTTATTTTTAAAATAAGAACTTTTGTATGATTTTATATTAATTATTACTATTTTTAAAGTAATGATAAAGTTAGTAAATAAATTTTTATACCCTATTTAAAAGGGAACATTTTTTTTATTGTTACTTTTTAACCTTAAAAGGAATAATTTGGTGGCAATTTGGAAATGATAATATTTTTTTTACCGGTTATTGAGGTAACATAAAGCAATTAAGAATGTGGGTATATATATTTATTATTAAATTAATCTAAAATACAATTATTGTAATATATGCTAATATTTTTTTTTACCGGTTATTGAGGTAATATAAAGGAATTAAGAATGTGGGTATATATATTATTAAATTAATCTAAAACACAATTATTATTGTAATATGAATTTTAAGTGAGGTTGTAGGTAAGTGAATTTTAGTATCTTACAAATGAAATAAAATAAAGAAATTTAAGCGAGTTTGATTCATGAATTTATCAATTGAATTTTAAACTTATTTTAGTGAATTTTAATATCTTACAAATGAACTAAAAATAAAGAAATTTAAATTTAAAGAGCGAGTTAGATTTATATGATATATATCAATTTGGTAACTTAGAAGGTTAAGAGAAAGGGTCTTTTATGTTAATTTGGAAATGAACATAATACTTTTGATTTATAAAGAGTTTTTGGTCATAAGTTTGGGATATAATTGATTGTGTACTTACGATATTATTTGGAGTAATATATGGGTTATTCATTATATGTAAAATTCTGATAAAGAAATGTACCGAGGTAGTGACCAAGGTATATAGTAATTGGAAAGAAGACACTGTGGTGTCGGATAATTTGTGCGATATTATGGAATGTGGGGAGGGTTTTTTTTTCTTTTACAATTCATTAAATATTTCTATCTTATTTTGGCAGGTTTTTATTGTAATATATTAAATTTTTTTACAATGCATTAAATATTTCTGTCTAATTTCGGCAGGTTTTGTGTTAACCACATATATAAATTTTATTTACAATCTGTCCAATTTCGGCAGGATTTCATTTTAAGTATCTGTTAACTACATATTTTAATTAAAGAGGTCAGGAGTAAAAGAGTTTAGTGACATGTATTTATTTATTTTTAACAAAGTATACATTGAGCTGAAAATTTATTTTTTTTCCCTCCCCTCCCCGTCTTTTTTTTTTCCTCATGTAATTTTTTTTAAAAAATTGTAAATTAAACCGCAGCAGAAGAAAAAAAGAAAAGAAAACGAAAGTATCGTTAGGTGTTTATTATTTAATTTATTCTCGGGAGGAGGAATAATTGAATAAGGGAATGCACATGTTCGGTATGGAATTGGACTATATTCTTTATATTACTTATATTTTTAAATAGATAATTGAATGAAAATATTTTTTTCTCTTACTTATATTATTTTGCTTAATATGTATATTTTTATTGTATTGACCTCTTCAATTAAAATAAAAAAAGAAACGCTTATCGGGTCATGAATATCATATTTATGAAATTCACCAAAATTAAGCAGTTTACCAGGCCTGACTGTGACTTGGTTCTTAATTGGTTAATGTAAAATTAACTTAGCCTGGTACAATTTATTTCAATTTTTTTAAAATCCAAATTCAGTTTATAGAATTTCGTTTATATATGTTTACTTTCTTTGAATGGACATTATTATTGATCATTCACCAATTTACCACAAAATCATTTTAAAAATTATATTCTAACAACAGAAAATTTAACTGTATGTTAAATAACCTGGCTTTATACGATACATATAAGATGTCTTTGCTTAAATAATATAGATATTCACTTCTACATATTAATTGCATTATTGATGAAAATATTTTTTTAAAAAGAAAAATATAAAGATGCAATAGAGTGAATCATTGTTTTTTATAAGAACAAAATTTTAATTATTTTGTCATTAATTGTTTAAATTTTAAATAGGTTTATTTAAAATGTGAAATTATGTATTTATTTTGCGTACCTATGTTCAATTCGATAGAACAATTCAAAGGTCGATACAATTCAAAGGTGCGATTCGATAAATGACCAATAATGGATGAATATGAAGATCGAACTTCATAGAGTAGATGGACACCCGGCTTATGTGTGGTGGGCGTGTCACAGTTCAATAAAATGCTGCAAAGAATAATATTTCTTTTTTAGTGTAGTCAATCAATACATTTTTTGTATTATTTTTAATTTATTTTTTTTATAAAATAATTATTAATTCTTGGATTAAATTGAAAAATATCATCTGAAGTTAGTTGTGTATTTTTGGGGTCCGTGTAAGTTATAATGGCTCATTATTTTTATTATATATCGCATTGGTATATGTAATTCATGGGGAGTTAGAATATCTCAATTTTAAATTATTTGCCGGGGTCGATTTGAAAATTTTTAATTAAATTTAACCGGAAATGTATTTCAGCTTGTGTATAGAACCATACTTGATGAATGAAAGACAAAATTAGGTATTCATTCCAGCTCAAATACATTTTCGATTAAATCAAATTTTTAAAATTATATATTTTAGTAATAATTTTCCGGCAATGTGTTATTTTTTTTAACTTTAAATCATTTTTTGAATTCGATTTTTTAAAATTTACTAATTTACCAGAAATGTATTCCAGCATGATTAGAATATCTATCTTATAAATTATAGGCAAATTTCCCGTTTAGCTTTGACTCATTTATAATTTATATAAAAAATATATGGAAAAATAATATAAATTATATTAAATTCAAAAGTTCATGGCAAAATTGTCTGAAATTCATTTGGGTAGGTATTAAGATCAGATTTTTAAATTTAAAAAAAAGGTGCTCAAAAAATGATTAGTTGGAAAAATATCACATTGTCAGAAAAAACACTTTTTTAAATATTACATGAAATTTTAATTGTGTAAAATGTAATTCATCTGAATTCACATATTAGTTATATATTGCAAAATTAATTACATTTTAAAAAATTTACGCGAAATTAATATCGTATTGATAATTTAACTTATGGAACATTTTTGTAAATTTGGTTTTTCTTACAATTTATTTCATATATAATACCATCATTTGATGATTAAATTTTATTGATATAAGCCCAATCTAAATTTATACGATAATTTACCATATCAAATCGATTCAGGGAAACTTTTATCGCGAAACACTTTTTAGCGAAACGTTTATCGCGAAAGAATTTTAAGGTGATATCGCGAAACCAATTCCGCATATTTTTTTTTCATGAAACATTTATAGCGAAGACAAAATCGTGAATTTATTTCTGCGAAATCTGAAGCGCGGAACACTTTAGCGAAACTTTAATGGCGAACCATTTGCGAGCTTTTTGTCGCGAATGTATCTGCCCGAAGTCATTATCGCGGAACATTAAATTATATATATTTTTTATAATTAACACTAACCATACAAAGTATATATGAACGACTTCTCATTATCTGAAAATCTCTGCAATTCAGATTTATCACAAGATTCATCAAATTTGTTATTCTCCTTAATAAGACTATTAATTTCACTGAGTTATAAAAAGAGTTCTATCCTGTTATAACCGGCTTATCTTCGCATTTTTTCTTAAAGATGGCTGCAAGTCACGGAGTTATAAAAGGAGTTTACATCTTGTTATAACCGGTAATCAGATTTAGTATCTTCCCACTTTTTCCTTAAAAATGGCTGCACAGTTTCGAGACTGCCCATGTCACTAATAAATATTGTTA